CAAATAAATAGCATATAAAAAATAGGCAACTATTAACTAAGGGAAAAGGTAAGCAGAATTATCTCAAAGCAGTGTTATTGAACCCGACCCGGGGATCCATCCGGTTGGGGTACTGGGTTACTGGGTCACTGGTTGGACCAGTTGACCCAGGTATATATAGATATATAAATATGAACATATAAATTCAATTATATTATTCATATCTAAAATGAATTAAACAAGTTTCATTAAATAAGCTAAAAAATAAGAAACATAAATAAATAAAAATGCATGTTATTACTATATCAATTTAAATTGCAATTCAGAATCTCCGTAAATATACCTCTCAATGACATTGAACGCGTATTTTTCAAATTCAACAAAAATGACATATGTCACATTCTCTTAACTTATTATTCCGCAATTTGCTTCAATATAAGAAGCTGAAATTTGAGGTCATTGTATAAAAGTATACTAGAAAATAAAATTACATAAAGTATTTAAAGTGAGTTCTACATTTTTTTTGACAAGATGAAACAATTTTGATTTTTTGTTTTTTAAATTGCATGACCTGACCGGGTCACTGGGTTTGGCCGGTTTTGTCCAGATTTTGACAGGGTTTGACATGGTCGATGCATGACTGGTCCAATACTTGACCCGAATCGGTCCGATGACCGGTTTGTCGAGTTCTGGGTCGACCAAGCCGGGTTTTACAACTATGCCTCAAAGATGACAAAAATCGATGTACGGAGCCAAGTTGTGGAGAGTTGTATCAACTCAACAATCTTGATGCTCCAAAAATATACTATGAGATTAACAAGCCGTCACAACTAAATTAATCCTCACATGTAACTAAGTTAACAAGTCATCACGGCTAAATTAACAAATCACCCTAATTCTACTCAAGAACAAAATTTTTACTATAACACTAGCTTGGTTTTAATACGAAGCCCAAGTGTCTTTAAAAAATATTACTATAACACAAGCTTTAATATAAAGTTGAAGTGTTTTTTATTTATTTTGATTTTGTTATATTCAAGCATGTGTGTTGGAAGAAAGGGAAATTGGCTCTTTATATAGAGGGAAGGGAGGAGGAAGGAATAAGAAGTGGGCAACCTGAGACTTCTTAGGAAAGCTATTTTTTTTTTAGTGGACAAACATTTTTCGACAACCATATCTCACACTAGAGGGCATAGCTTGAAAATCGGTCCAGTCAGATTGAAGTATCATATGAGAGGAATATGCCAACCAAATTTGAGGATTATCCAACAGTTCAATTGAGAGAAATAGCTCTCGGAAAACTGCTACCCAAAATAGTGTGGTGGTCTTAAAAATGAACAGTCCTCTTTCGACATTTATATCTCAAACCAGAGAAGTCAGTTCAGAAATTTGTCTTGTCAGATTGTAGGATTATAGGAGAGGAATATGCTGACAAATTTTGAGGACGATCCAACGGTTTATTTGGGAGTAATGCCCCTCACAAAGTCGCTGCTCGTTGCAGAAACTTCCAAGAGAACTGTTCCGGTTCTGGGAATGATATAGACCTCGAATCAAGAAATCCACCCGTCAATTTTAAGGAGAATGAGTCAAGATCTTGCTAAAATATTTTAGCTCGATCGGACGGTGGATGAAAGAGATATCGCGGCTGGATCAAGTCCTACTCAAAGATGTTATTTTTTCTAAAATATTCCTCCTTCCCTTTTTCCATCTATTTGATTGCTCTCTTCTTTTTTGCTTTATTGAAAGACAAAAAGATGTGTTCAAAACTTAAATTTTTTCTTTTCTTTTTATTTTTTATTTTGTAATTTTTAAATATTTTAGACAAAATTGGGTGTTCACAATAACTCTCCTCTTATCTTTTTGGGAAAAGTTCAAAAAAATCTCGTAGTATTACTTTGAATCACTTACACCTATATGCTTTTATTTTAATCGCTTAATCCCTTGTGGTTTTTTTATCCACACCCCTCGTTTATTTTGTTAAACATTTAACTAAGTATACCTTTTATACCCTTTTTAGAAGAAAAAATAAAGTGATTAAAAAAACAATAAGACCAAATGTAATGAAAATTTAGAACACTTAATAAAAGACTAAAAAAATAGTAAAAAAAATCAAATGTGTCAAAAAAAAGTATATAAAAAAATAGAATAAGAACAAAAATATTGAAGAAACCAAATGATGGTAGCTCAGTTGCTGCATAAGAGTTGAGCAGGTGAGGTGAGAGTATGTGTTCGATGCTCTCAGTTCATTTTTGAAAAGGGTTTAGCTTTAATTTTGGACTCGTCCCAAATAGGATTTTTTTTCCGTGGAGGATACCTGTGATTTAAAAAAAAAAATATAGAAAAAAGCTAAAATTAAAAACAATGAAAATAGTCCAAATGAAAAAAGAAAAATTTAAGATAAAAAAAGCCACAGTTGTGAGTTTTCAATATATTTAGTTTTATATTTTCTTATTTTTGTCCTTGGTCTATTTTATTCTTTTTTATTTAGATATGTTTGATTTTTTTTCTATTTTTATTTTTACTTTTATTTTTTTTATCTATCTTATTCTAATTTTTTTCTCAACTTTTTTTTTAGTTTTGTTCCACCTAATTTACTAAAGATTTTTTTAAAAAATGTTAAAGAGAGAGAGAATAAAATAGAGATATATAAAAGACCAAACATATTTAAATAGAAAGAATAAATAGACCAGGGACAAAAAAACAAAAAACAAATAAAAGTCAATATATTGAAAATTCATAACTGTAATTTCTTTTGCTTCTATTTTTTTTCTTATTCGATTTTTCTTTTCTTATTCACTTTTTTTATTCAGACACATTTGATTTTTTTTACTATTTTTATTTTTTAGTCTTTTGTTAAGTGTTTTAATTTTTTTATAACATTTGGTCTTATTTTTTTCTTTTTTCTCATTTTATTTTCTTCTTCTAAAAAGTCTAGAATATATATACTTAGAAAGGGATATGGATGAAAAAATTACAGTGGACTAAGTGATTAAAAAAAAACATAAAAGGGTAAGTAATTCAAAGCAATACCCCACGGAGTTTTGAACTTTTTCCAAGATGAAACTTGCGACTTTGTTTATTTTCGTTTGATTATTATTATTATTATTATTATTATTATTATTATTATTATTCAGTCTTTCAAACACTCATAAGAAAACAAATCTTGGTAAATCAATTACTAACTAATTAAACTCAGAAAGGTTTTACTCAGCAGTGGTAGTACTCTCACAAACAATTAATATTTGCAAGCCAAAATTTAAACTTCAACAGGCCAGTGAATCTTAACAAAACAACTAATATGTACTCTCACAAACAATTGATATTTGCAACCCTTTCATGTAGTCGGATTTGTAAACCCATTTTTGTCAAATTTGGGTTGTAGCATTCGAACGCGTCAAATTAAGCCGAATAGGGTGAAAGCTTAGATATCCTTCCTCATGGCTACAAAGGAGGAGATTTGTTGAATTCGAAACACACGATAATCGTAAAGAATCAATTCAACCAAAAAATTTAAATTATGAGACAAGACTACATTAATGATTTTATATATTTTAATATGTGCCCTCATACGAGAGCTCACTAGGCTTGAAGGGTGGATAATGCACATGCGAAATTCCACTAGAAAAAAAGTGTGAGACGGTAAGAATCGAACCCGGGTACACTGAGACTCTGATACCATATAAAGAACCAATTCAACTCAAAAACGAACCCAAAAACTTAAGATTTTGGGTGAGACTACATTAATGATTTTATATATATATAGAGGAAGGTCATACTTACAACTTTTTTTTTACAACCATATCTTAATACCGTTGATTTTCGCCAATCAACGGTTATTATTTATTGTGAATTAATAATTAATTAATGAGTTTAATTTACGAAAATCATAACCGTTGATTGGCGGGAATCAACAGTGTTAAGATATGATTGTAAGAAGTTATAAAAAGAAAATTGTAAGTATAACTTTTCTCATATATATATATATATATATATATATATATATATATATATATATATATATATCTTAGTCTCCTTTTACAAGAGGTAGCTTATCTCATATTCTCTCACTTCGATTTCCGCACCTCACTTTTTTTCTTTTTTTCTTTTCTTGTAATGGTGGAACCCACCTAGTTTCTCTCTACAACATAAGATACCTATCTTATGTAAAAGGAGATTAATAAAACCCATATATATATCAACGATAATATTGAAACTTGAAAGAGACACATTCCCGCTGTTGAAGAAATTCAGCACAGTTGAGAATCTAAAGAGAAGGAATCTTATTCCCTACGGAGAGAAGAGAACCCTATTTTGTAAGCCATCGCATTAATTTCCAAACCAAAGAGACAATCTTTTAATCGCATCTATCATTGAAGTTCTCTGGACTAAGTTTATAGTTTTTACTCTTCACATTTAACATATTTTTCACGTTAAAATTAAGAAAAAATTATGTGTCATTTTAAGCGAGAGAAAAAAATAAATCATAAAAAAAAAAATAGCCAATAAAATAAATAAAAGTATAAATCTCACTTCTTAACGAGAGTGAAATGACACAAATTATAAAAGAATAAATACATTTCCTAAAAATTATTGTATATTCTCTACTATTCATCTCTGCTTTTCTTTTCGTTTATTGTTTGACGCTTCCGTTAGCCAAGCTCTACGTGCCGTGCTCCTTTCACAACAATATCTAATTATTTGTATATATGACTTGAATATCTTATAAGTCTGCGTAATATATAATAATATAATGATGGGGATTAATTTTCTATTTTATATTTACATGAATTTTTTTTATGCAGTGGGGATTACAAAAATGTAAGAAGATAAAAAAAATCAAAATAAGACTCACTCATATATTATGTACGTAGGATCTCTAAATTTTTTTAATGTAAAATGAAATTATTTTAAAGAGTCTAAAAAAAAGACCATGCAAAAACAAAGAAAAGGAAAAAGTGTTCATTGAATTTAGACGCGACCGCACTGAAACCTAACCCGGACGTGTTCCCGTTAAGAAACTGGATTGGATAATCGGCGATAGGTCCGAGCTTTAAAATGTAGATTTGGTTTTGTGGGTGAAAAAGAAACGCAGACAAGCGAATGAACAGGGACGAGTGCAGACGAGGAGTAAGTAAGCTTCGGAAACCCTAATCTTCATTGTCTCTTTCTATTTTCGTTATTGCCCCACTATTTTGATTTGTTTCCATGATTTGTATTCTCTTATTCGCGGTTAATTTCCCCTTCGCTCGCCCTAATTGCAACCATCAGTTATGAGTTTTACTTCTATTTTTTTAATGTAGCATCTGAATTCTACTGATTTTTTTTTTTTTTTTTTTTTTTTTTAAAATTTGAGTAGATGGATCATTACTCAGGGTAGCATGTGCTTGCTTCCGTTGCTTTACTTGCTGCTTGCTGCTTGCTGCTTGTTATTGCTGAAGATTCTGTGCAAAATGGATATAGTATCCAGTTGCAAGGTATACATTCAAATTTTTAAGGGGATTCTAGTGTATGGTCAGCACTTTTTCGTCATTATTTGTTTTTGAAGATTTTTTATTTTTTTTAACCGAAGTGTTTTTAGTCTTGAACATATGTCAAATTAGCCTTTTATGATAGCATTGTCACATATTGTAATTTGCTTTTGCGTACTGCTATTGGTGAACCAGAAGGGGGATTTTTTATTTTTTTATTTTATTTTTGTTTGAATGGTGCCTAACGTAATAGATAATTTGTTTACCTATTTTTGTAAATTGTGTCGGCTTAGTTTCTTATTGTCAAGATGTTAATTAAGAGTACACATCTGAATTTACTGGTAATTAGCAATATAAGGTTTTGAAGCTAGAGGCAGCTAGGAAAGGCAAAGGAATTTCTCTGGCAAGCATTGTTTGTCCCCTGCTTATTGATTGGACTTTCAGTTTTTGTTTAGCTTGGTTTACTTATCACCAAACATTGTTAACCAGGTGTTTAGTACAGGTTTTATGCTATAAAATATTAACCATGGAGTATGGTGTTCTACTTTACTGATCTGTGGCTTTTCTTATAGGAAAAATTGACATATTTTCGTATAAAAGAGCTCAAAGATGTGCTTACTCAGTTAGGACTTTCGAAGCAGGGAAAGAAGCAGGTGAGATAAGAAAAATATCACTGATTATGTTTCTTCAATGTTAGGCCTTTTCTTTGAAACCTCAATGCTAGTATTGAGCATCATTGAATGGTGTTCGTTGACTGATTACTTGTTATTTTTTATATGACACTTTTTATACTCCTTTTCTCACTAGATTATATGCAACTTGAATTGCTGTATTTAGTAATGAAGAATATGAGTTTGAAATTCTTAGAAAAGATGAATATTTTTAATCTGTAGTAATGAAGAATATGAGTTTGAAATTCTTAGAAAAGATGAATATTGTTAATCTGTGACATGAACTTTCATGATTATTGTAACTTTGGTTTTTGGCTAATGGGTTATTTTTTTTATTGCTTAACTTCGTGCTATATTTTTTTGGAGTTTTGGGATGATATAATGATGCCAATTCTTCATTTATCTGTAGGATCTCGTTGATAGGATACTATCTATTCTCTCAGATGAACAAGGTATGATTATACTCTCTCTATGACACACACACACATACATGACTCAACCTTTGGTTCTAATTCTATCTTGTATTCTGTACTGTTTTCATAATATTTCTGTTTAGGTTGTGAGCAAGCTTAAATATTCGAAGTTTTAGACTGTATCTGCATAATTGAGTTATTAATTAAATTCATCAAAGTACAGATGTCGCAACTCGCAAATGTTATTGATTTAAATATTTCATTGCAGTTATCAATTGAAGTATGTGTATTAATCTACTTTAATTCAAATTGGATTTGGATCCTCTCATGTGAAAAAATGGTCATGTTATTTGATCACAACCTCTCATTTAAAAAGCATACACTTTTCTCTCTCTTATCTCATCATCAATGAGTGGAAATGAGTGGTTGTGATCAAATAACATGACCACTTTTTCACATGAGAGGATCCAAATCCATTCAAATTAGATGGGTATCCTTGAAAAATGCAGTGAATTTTTTTATTTGAACCAAATAGTAAACCTTTCTTATTAAACAGATGAGTCTTGGCTGTTTCTTTTCACCTGGGCTTTTGTGTTTGTGCCCTTAATCAGAGTGTGAGGGCGGTGGTGCTGCTGTTGTGTTTCTCATTCTTTTCTTTCTCTGTCATGGAAGACATGGTCACAAATCATGATTTTCTTTTTTAAAAATATTCATCAACTTGCTGGCTCGGAAAACCGGCTGGTTCTCTGGCTGTGCTCCAAACCGGCTGATTTCTGTTTTGATTACATTTCCTACTTGATGTTTGGAGTGGCAGCTTCTATAAGGGCATAGTTAATTGAATATGAAATCAGAATATTTAGTAATTATGTATCTAATTCCATTTTGTGATTTTAATATGTCAATTTGCCTTTTGTATTTCCTTCCTCTTTTCTCCTTTAAACTGAGCAACTTGTTACTTTTTTTTTTAAGTTTCCAAAATGTGGGCCAAGAAGAATGCTGTTGGAAAAGAACAGGTGGCGAAATTAGTGGATGACACATATAGGTGAGTGTTAAGAGACAATGCTGTTGTCGACATTTACTACATCTAGCTTTGGTTTGCTTAAGATGAATGTAATGGCTCAAAATTTTTGGATTAGCTTATAGTTTAAGCATGATTTGCTGATTTGCTTTCGGTTAATTATACTAGTATATATATGCTATAAACTCCTTACTTTATTATTTTTCTTTCTTGACGATCTGTGTTTTCTTTTTGCCCAGAAAATTATCAGTGTCTGGGGCCACTGATCTAGCATCAAAGGGACAGGTTACCTCAGATAGCAGTAATGTGAAAATTAAAGGTGAAATCGATGATTCCTTTCAATCAGATACAAAGATTCGCTGTCTCTGTGGAAGTTTATCGGAAATAGAGCCATTGATCAAGGTGAAATATTCAATAGATTTCTTCTATCCTCATGATATATAAAATCATATGCCTTTTTACATGCTCGTATGATTTTGCTGATGATGTCCATTGTTTCCTTGATGACATATACATTTCATTAAGATCTCCAATGACAACTTATATTTGATAGTAAGCAATTTTATTTCTTTTCATCTAATTGCAGTGTGAAGGTACAAGATGCTATGTGTGGCAGCACTTCAACTGTGTTATTATTCCGGAGAAACCTATGGAAGGAATCCCGCCAGATCCTGATAAATTTTATTGCGAAATATGTCGTCTAAGTCGTGCAGACCCGTATGTCATGTTCATTCTTATTTTAGCTTATACGTTTTTTTTTGGGAGGGGGGGATTGTTTAGAAGTTTTTCTTCATAGTTTAGTGCTAAATATTTTTTATGTTTACTTCAAGAGCCATTTTTTTTTGTTTATGTATTGTCCATGGGGTTTGTTTTTTTTTTTTTTTGGGGGGGGTGGGGGGGGGGTGTGTGTTGTGTTGGTTGATATGATTGTCTTAGCTATTGGTGCAAAGAACTGAGCTTAGTAGCTGTCATATGATAACATGTTGGAGTTATAGCTATCAAATGCAGATTGCGGCATGTCGCGGCTAACTCCGAAAAACGCTATAGCGTTATAGTGGGTTGCGGTTGCGGAAATAGCGGAATAGATATATGACAGAAATAATGACAAAAAAAAAATATGTTTTAAAGACAGAGATAGCAGAAGTGACAGAGAGAGACGCGGATAGACTAAAAACCCTTAAATTTTTCTGTTACACATTTAAATTTAGGACAAAATTGACATTTTGTCTTATGTCAGCAATTTGGCCGCAAATGCGATCGCAATGGCCGCAAATGCGATCGCAATGGCCGCTATTGCGTTCAGGTGCAGAGCGCCGCTATTGCGGCGCAATTAACTACTATGGTTGCAGTGTGTTAATTTTATTGTCTACATGATGGATGCCTTTTTCCTCTCTTTTTTTTTTTATTCTCTTGTAATTGAAATACATTCCCGATCCATTTATTATTTATCATTTTCATTAGCCCATCACTCAATTTCCATTTTTTGCTCTTCTCTACATTGCAGGTTTTGGGTTTCAGAAAAGCACCTTTTGTTTCCTGTGAAGTTGATTACAACCAATATTCCAACTGATGGGTGAGGACATTATGTGGATTTGTTGTTAGACATAGTTTGTGACTCTGTGTAACTGGGTTCATTTGTCTTTGAACAAAATGAATGTCTTGTTTAAATATGTTATATCTTATTTTCCACTAAAGAGATATTTTGTTGCTTAAGTTATTTGTAAGAGACTCTGATGTCCTTCATTTTGGTTTTACTACTATCCATTTCATCTGGTTGCCTTCTATATATGTTCTACATTCTGTTATTTTGTTCTATTTTGGAGGGATCATAATGTTAGTGATTTTTCCTATTTATGTGAATTAAAATTCTCTGGTTGTTGAATTTGTTTCTCTGAGGTGAAAATTCTCTAAGGACAATAATCTATTGAAAATTTAAACCTTTCCCCTCTTCTTTCTTGAGTTTTTCTTTTCTTGTCTTAACATTCATCTTCTACTGTGGTTAAAACCTAGTTTTTATAGTGCCTTTCTGCTTGAATGACATAGCCATATTTCTGTTTGAATTGTTCAGAACCAATCCAATAATAAGTGTGGAGAGAACATTTCAACTTACAAGAGAAGACAAGGACTTGTTGTCAAAATCGGAATTTGATGTTCAGGTTGGTTTTGTTTTTCAGTGCTTGTAGTTTAATGCATAACCTTTTATCTAGGTAGTTTGTTGATGTATGCCAAATGACATCATATATAGGCTTGGTGTATGCTTCTAAATGACAAAGTTTCATTCCGGATGCAATGGCCTCAATATACTGACCTACAGGTTAATGGTATGTTATTACAAGTCTTGATCTCCTTAATGTTGTTTTTCGGTTCCTTTTGAGAAATTTGTTTCATGTTGTGGGTCTTGTTCTAGTTTGCATATTCTATTATTATGTGTGTAGTTAGAAGTACCTAATTTTTAAGTAAAACATCAAAATTTTCTTCATGGAATTCTTGAATTTTGCAGTTTTATTGAATCTGATTCAATTGTTTTGACTATAATCATATAGGTCTTCCTGTTCGTGCAATTAACAGACCTGGTTCACAAGTGCTTGGTGCTAATGGTCGTGACGATGGTCCAATTGTGAGTTTATTGTCATCTATGGTTATACCTATTGAGAATTTTCTGCTACTGTCTTGTTTAGAGTGCTTGTATTTTAAATGTATATATTTAAGTCTCGGTGCTAGTTTTATTTTAATCTTTTTAGCAGTGTTAATTAAGTTTCGTTGACATTGGTTTTATTCAATTTCTTATTTTTTTTCTCCTATGTCAGATCACGCCATATACAAAAGACGGAATTAATAAGATTTCGTTAGCAGGGTGTGATAATCGCATTTTCTGTTTAGGGGTTCGTATTGTTAGAAGGTGCAGCATGCAACAGGTAGATTGCATTCTGAACCTGCTTAATTTCTAAGTTTAGTATTCTGGATGACTGTTGGTTCCTTTAATCCAGGCTTATTGGGATAGTCATGTTTGATGTTAAGAATCTCCCTGTATGATATCAGTCCAAAGTTTCTGAGACTGATCCTGTTTGGTTGATTTCTGAAAAATTTGAAATTTGCAAAATTTGGAATGCTTGTATGATTCTCTTTTGTCAATTTTGATTAAAACTTGATTGATTGAGGCAAGTATTGAGGAGCCATGGTTGTTTTGAATTGTTTACATAGTTCTGTGGCTTGATATTATATTACTTGCTGATCTTTCCATTTAGCACTCATTTGAATAATCAAATGCATTTGTCTTGTTATTGTATCTGACAGAAGAATTGTCTTTATCATTGAGTTCTTATGCTTTTGTAGTTTCATGCTTTGTTGTTATTGACTTATTGCTTTTGAGTTTTCCATGATTTAACTTACTGTTCCATATATAACAAAGTTAAGAAGGGTTGGGTGTACTAACCTGTTCAATTAAATATGAATCTTGGTGGTTTGGTTTTTATATCTGAATCCTAGTGTTTTACGTAGTGATAAAGCCAAGATTGGAAGAGCTTGTTGAGGATGCTAACTTCTCCTTTTTTTGTGTGGATATATTAACCCTTTCAATCTCCGTTCTCTATATTTTATTTGGCATGGCTGTTTTCATCAAGCTGCATTTTGATCATACTAAAATATGTTTTTGATGAAGATTTGGTGTTTCCAAACAAAGCAAATATGGTGTTATACTCTTATTTTTTATCTATCATCCATAGGTGGTTAAGTTAGTGATCTAAATTTTGTTTGGCCCAAGTTCATTTTGCAAAATGCACCAATTCTCTTAACCATTTAAATGTGGAGAGGTCGTGTGCATGGATCCTAATGGTAATGACCACATCAAACTTCACTCTCTAAATAAATGTGTTCTTTTATGGAAAAAAGAAATTGTAGTAGATAGATCATATAGGTAAGTACAATGGGTTGAGGATAAGGTATCCTCTAAAACAAATAAAGAAACACAAGGGAGAAAACAAATAAAGAACAGGAAATCTAAGAATGCAGCAACCAGAAAGGCTGCTCCAATGTCTGTGTTAGAGATCGCTACACTGTTGAAACAACCACAGGCAGAAGTGCTGAATTCCAGAGGCAAAAAATTGTAATCTTATCCCCTTGTCAGATAAAATTTTAATCCACGAAGGATGTGTTTTTGGGTCTATATTTTGTTGGAATGTCATTTGCATGTATGTTGAATTTTTAAAGTGGCTATATCTTGATTGAATATTTTTACGTATGCTTATCTTCCGTCAGTGCCATAAAATTAAATGATTTAGTCTCTTGTGTATAGATCCTAGACATGATTCCAAAGGAATCTGATGGTGAGCGTTTCGAAGATGCTCTTGCACGTGTCTGTTGTTGTGTCGGGGGAGGAAATGCAACTGACAATGCTGATAGTGACAGTGATTTGGAAGTGGTTTCGGATACTTTTAGCATCAACCTTCGTTGTCCAGTAAGGCTTTCATGTATTGTAGTTTTTTATTTGCTCATGGAGTTTCACAAATCAGTTCCCAAAGTCTTAACACATTCCCATGCCCTCGTGAAATTTTTAGATGAGTGGTTCAAGAATGAAGATTGCAGGAAGATTCAAACCTTGTGTTCACATGGGTTGTTTCGATCTTGAAATTTTTGTGGAATTGAATCAACGTTCAAGGAAGGTAAGATTCTCACCCATTGTGTATTACTGTTCTGATTCCTTCCTTTTTTAATTTTTTAAAATGTTTGATGAAGTATTAATTGTTTCTGCAGTGGCAGTGCCCCATATGTCTTCAAAACTATGCGTTGGAGAATATCATAATTGATCCTTATTTCAATCGCATCACTTCTATGGTAGTTTTTTCCCCTTTGTTCTTCATTTCTCTCTTCATAAAGCTCATATTTGAGTTTGATGAACCGGTAGTTATTTCTTAAATTGGTTTGCTGGTACAGATGAAAAATTGTGGAGAAGAGGTTACAGAGGTTGAGGTGAAGCCTGATGGTTATTGGCGTGTCAAGACTAAGAGTGAAAGTGAGCGCCGGGAGTTGGGGAATCTTGCTCAGTGGCACTGTCCTGATGGATCCCTCTCTGTTTCTACTGATGGAGACCTCAAGAGAGTAGAAACTGCGAAGCTCAAACAGGAATGTGTTTCAGACAGTCCTACTGGTTTAGTACTTGGCATCAGGAAGAACCGTAATGGAGTTTGGGAATTCAGTAAAGCAGAGGACACAAACACTTATTCTGGTAATAGACTGAATGAGGATTTTGGAAATGATGAACATGTGGTTATTCCAATGAGCAGCAGTGCCACTGGAAGTGGCCGGGATGGTGATGATCCTAGCGTAAATCAGGGTGGTGGTGGGCATATTGATTATTCTACTACCAATGGGATTGAGATGGATTCTGTGTGTCACAATAATGTTGATTCAGCTTATGGATATACTGTTCATAACACTTCTGCTCCGGCGGGTGATGCTGAAGTTATTGTTCTTAGTGATTCAGAAGAAGACAATGATATATTGGTATCTCCTGCGATTGGGTACAGAAATAATCAAACTCGTGCTGCAGTTGATGTTTACTCGATGCCACCACCTGCCATTATCGATCCATATATAGAAGATCATAATCTTGGTGGAAATCCATGCTTGGGAGTTTTTAATAATCCAAGTGAAGATGATTTTGGGATGCACGCCCTCTGGCCGCCATTGCATTCTGGAAATCAGGCAGGCTCAGGTTTCCAATTATTCAGTTCTGATGTTGATGTGTCAGATGCATTGGTTCATTTGCAGCATGGTGATATTAATTGCTCTTCATCACTGAATGATTATACATTGGCTTCAGATGCTGCTTTGGGATCTAGTACTCTTATAGCAGATTCCTCTGCAGGTCGACCTGATGCTGATTTAAATGGTGGCTTGGTTGACAATCCATTGGCATTTGCTGGAGAAGATCCGTCGCTTCAGATCTTTCTCCCTACAAGACCAGCAGAATCATCTGTGCAGCATGAATTGAGAGATCATGCAGATGTGTCAAATGGTGTCTGCGGCGAGGATTGGATCTCTCTTAGGCTTGGAGGAGGTGCGGTTGGCAGTAATGGTGATGGTTCTACTCCAAATAGGTTGTATTCCAAACCGCAAATTACATCCAGAGAAGGTGCCACAGATTCTTTGACTGATACTGGTTTGTTACTTTCTGAACTTAAATCTGCATCACTTATTTTTTTGGTGAAAGTTACTCATGTAAACTTTCATTGTATGTCAGTCCACTGACATAACGTCGTTAGCTGGGGAGATTATTTTTTTGAACTTATCCTCATAATATATCAGGATTCAAGACGTTTAAGACACCCACATGTGGAGATTAGTATCCTCCATATTTTCATGTGCACAAATGACGATTTACTTATTCTACAAAAGCAAATATATTAAGGTCTTTGTAGGAATAGAGAAATTCTTAAAATAATAATTTTTTTCATCTTCCAATACTATTCTCTTGCTTTGTCCCTCTGTTTCTAAGCCTTTCACTCCTGTAAATGAACATGTTTTTATTAAGTTCTTGAGAAAGAGAATTTTTACTCCATAATTCCTTAACATGCGTGATTATTATGATTTTTCTTAGCTCCATATCAAGTTTTTTTGTGGAGGTTATGAACGAGGATTGGAAACTGGCTATTTCATTTTCTTTGCATGAGGTTCTGTTAAATGTTAGGAACCTCAAATTAGTTTGTTGGAACATCATATATATGCTATTGTGTTGGTGGTTGCTATGGGATAGGGGTTGTGAACTAGTCAAAATTCTTGCATAATTCGGTTTCTGCATCATATCATATTGTCTAATCCAACTCATAAGTTGAAAGCAATAGCATAAAAGGAAATAATGGCTATAACTAAATCAGAGATATACTCAATGGTGATTGAAGAAATCCCATTAACTAATTGGTTGAAGAACTTTATTCTGGTTTCTTGGAATGACTGTTAATATGATTTGCATTTCTATGCTGTTTTCAAGTTCTACAACTAAATCCACGTTGATTAGTCTGTGTGTTTGTGTAAAGGCATGCTCTTTGTTGCTTTCTAAGGTTAGCCATTTTACTTGTCTATGACAAAGATAGAGTAGGGACAAGGATAGAGGATTATATTAAATCTTCTAGAGAGGTTTTTTTCATAAAAAAGGCCTAAATGGCTATAAATGTTTGCATCTGTATAAAATGTCAATGGTTACTTTGTGCACCTTGAAAATGTGGAGAAGCTAACATCTAACACAAAGGTGAGGAGGTTAGCTGTATGTGATGGTGCATTCTCTATTTTGATCCTAATTACAGACATTTATATGCTAAATTGCTCTACAACACAAGTATTTTGACTATGTTCCAGTTCTAGGTCAGTGATTCTTAATGCAGTATGACATTTTTTCTCCAACTTTCTTGACTTATTATTCCTCCTTTCGCAGCTTCTTTGCTTCTTGGTATGAATGATGTGAGATCTGACAAGGCAAGTAGGCAAAGAACAGATAGCCCTTTCTCATTTCCCCGCCAAAAACGTTCAGTAAGGCCCCGCTTGTATCTTTCTATTGATTCAGATTCGGAGTAGAGGTATTATTAGACCTTGTATTTCTAATAACTTAAGATGCCCTTCTTAACGCTGCATTTTGTATTTAGAAACTGAAGAAAGTTGAGCAGCATTTTTGGTCCTCAGGAAATGGAAGTTGATTTGGTCTTGAGGCATCTCCGGTGGAGCATAGCTACGAAAGTTGCCCAGCCAAAATGCTTGCACCTGTAGGTTATCGTTTCCCCATTGGTAAAGATGTTTGCTTCAAAGATTCTCAATTCTTTATGCTTGATATTCAAAGTTGTCCTTATGACAAATGGTGACAGGTCAGGCGCATGGGTATTATTCCCCAGTTTACATCCATGATCTGATGGTACTGGTGTAGTACGTCTTCCAGATGGACATTCAAACATATAGATCTGATGGTTCAAACTTCCTGATGTGGTTGGAAGTTCCCCGTTAAGAAATTTTATATCTGCAATTTTGTCTCTGCTTAGAACAATTAATCTGTAAATGTTAAACCGACAGATTCAATCGTAAAATCAAAAATAGTTTTATCTTATTCACACCCAGGTAGACGTCCAACTTTGTAATATATGATTGCCAATATTTGTAATATATTTAGGCATTAAAGTTGCATCCTGTCTTGTAAATCCTGGTGAGGATAAACATTTTTGCCGTTTGCCTTTGTATTTAGTTATAGCTCACCGTCTTGACATTCTTTTGAGCTGTTTGCGCATCGGGAGGTAAATAGTTGAAATTAGCTTCAATATAGTGGAAATATTTATTGCAGATGTATTTATTAAGATGAAAGAAAAGTATGTAGCAGGATGATCAGGAATCCCGCCATTAACAAGGGAAAAAAAAAGGACGGAAAATCTTAGAAAAAAATGAAATCATCTCGAGGTTTACTCAGATCCTTTTCACAGGTAACATCACGTTCAATATATACAGCAAATGATTTTGGGATGCATGCCCTATGGCCATTGCAATCTGGAAATCAGGCAGGGATTATTCAATTCTGAAATGGATGTGTCAGATGCATTGGTTCATTTGCAGCGTGGTGATATTAATTTCTCTCATAACTGATACAATGGCTTAGGATGTTGCTTTGGGTTGTTGGGTGACATGTGATGTTCCCCCATAGCAATTTAAAGAGGTTTTTGATGGAGTATTTAACATCATTTGATGGAACATCTAATGTTGGAGCATGTTTTGCAATTACCGGGGGCTTGCTTTCTTTTCGGGGCTAATATAATTTGCTGAGTTAACAGTGGATGATTATATCCCCTCTTAATTGATATTGTAGATATGATATAAATGGTGAATTAATGTTGGAAGATTATATATCCTTGTTAATTTTATTGATTTCCTGTGTACGAGAGAATAGTGAAAAACAGTGAATGTAAGTTGTTTGAGTGCCTAGAAGGATAATGTGAGACAAATAGTAACTAGTAAGAGCATGTAGTGTTAAAATGTTGTCGTGGTGTCAATTTCACTTATTATTATAGTTATAGCTTAATCCATTAGTGATAGTTATTCTAGTCTTTACTTGGACCACCTAAATCTGTTAATATGGAGGCATGGAAACTCAAGTGTGAGATGTGCTGCTACGTCTTCCAGATGGACATTCAAACATATAGATATGATGGTTCCAACTTCTAGATGCAGTTCCCGTTAAGAATATTATATCAGCAATTTTGTCTCTGCTGAGAGCAATTAACCGTCAAATGTTAAGCCAGCAGATTCAGTAGTAAAATCAGTAATAGTTTTATCTTATTCATACTCAGTTTTATCTTTTCTTGGCCCTTTCAATTGGTTATTGTGTTTACTCAAATCCCTTTTTTAATTAAACTTTTGAATAAATTTAAAAAAAAATTGTGCCATGATCATTTTTAGATGAAAATTGTACTGTCTCTCTTTGAAAATAGTGATGAATTTTACTTCTTTTCATAAACTTACAGATTGTTCTGTGAAATTTATACCACGCCTCTATTTGAAAACAGAAAAATGCTTATGTTTGTGTTTGGCCATTCTGTGATGATTATTAGTTTGTTTTTGTTCATATAGAAGCTAATGTTCCTCTTCCCACGCGGATAATGTGTTAAATCAACACAGCAATTTTCGTTTCTTCAGCGGTTTTCAGAATGGAAAACTGTGTGCTGCTTTCTCGACCTCCTTATTCTTAGAAGAAACTTTATGCACGTTTCTCGTCCTAAAGCTGCTTTCATCTAGGCCACTTGAAATAAACTTATCTACATTGGTTTATGTTTAGATATAAAATGATTATGAGTCTTTTTATTCAATAATACAAGCTTTTGGGAGACTTAATTCTTGATGGTTATGAAAGCTTTTATAGTTTAGAATTCGATTCTTGTTATTTTTATTGTTTTAAATAGAATTTGAATTTCATTATAAGTAAGCAGGTTCGTACAATGTTGTTTCAAGTTTAAAAGTATTCTTGAAGAGGAAACGTGTTAAATATAAAGTCATAAGCGGTAACGACTTGTTACATAGTGCCAGGACAGTATGGTGCCCTTATTTTTCAAGGCTAGAGGGCACAACTGTTAGTCTTCCTAGCGCTGACAATTTTATTTTTTTTAATTTTTTTTCTTTCAGGGTTTCTAGTTCAAAGATAGCAATCAATCATGGCATCAACATATATGCAAATAGTATTGATGATATTGCATAGAAACAGGGCCAACATAATACTTAAGACAACCGTGAAACTAGATTCTAACTATTGTTGGAGAAGAATCTGGCTGACCCACTGAGGAAGATTTAGAAGCCTCCATAATCATTGGTGTCTGTTCCAAACAGCTCTGGGTATCATCATTCATCATCCCAATTGTCATCTTATCCACTTCTTCTTGTGTATATATATGGATCTTGGATACCACATCATTGAACTCACTGCAGCCAAAAGGGGAATATGCATATTTTAGTATGTATCACCCATAATGTTAGATAGGAATTAAATAGGTATCACTTATCAGGTTCTGTCCCATCAGTAAATGAATATGTCAAGGTGATGGCCAATGACAACTCAGTAAAAGGTGGCAAAGCAGCATTTGAAAAAATAGAAGTTGAGTCCAGGAAGATGACTACTTACTGCCATGGGTCATCCCCAACAACCATAATGTCATTTTCACTGTCAGTGTAAAGGATTCTCCATCCCTTATCAGGATCTCTTAGAAGACCTTCCATGCCAAATAGTCTCTCTAGTTCACTCAGCAGGTCATTGTAGCTGCTCAATCTTGAGAGATCAATGGCCCTTCCAACTAAGCTACCTTGCTTGTGGACCTTCATTCAGTTATGTTACATGGGTGGACAAATTGTCAAAGGAAGAGAAAAAGGCATTATTACAATATAACTCTGTTGCTATCATCTCTCACCTTTGTGCAACTTCTTTTAGCAGAGTTCTGTGAATTTTGGTTGGTAGTTTCCCCGGACAAGGGAAAACCAAATAGTTTACAAGCATTCACCTTCCCCTTGAAAGTGTCATCATTTGGAATCCTCATGTTTGCCCCTAAAGAAGCAGCACCAGAAATATTGTCCTGTAGCTTCTGCTCATTTGGGGTTGTGTGATCTGACCGTCCAACTTCATTTCTCATGATCCCCGGCTGAGTAGAAGGTGTGTTAAATGGGAAATTCTCCCGTTGGAAATTAGTTGGTTTAGAGCACAACAAGCTGCTACCTTGACCAGGTTTGTGAATATCACCATAAGGAAAATATGCAGTTTGAAGAACTTCTGGTCCTGAAGAGTGAAAGTTAGGTTTGGTTGCTTGATGCAGGTTGTAATTTGTGCTACTGATATTGGGTTTGCCCCAAGAACCAAGGTTTATTAAATCAGCCTTTCCTGTCAGGGATCTCAATGGACATATTTCTTGACCTTGCAAGACCTTGGGAAACCTGTTAGTTTCCGCGAAGCCTGCATAACTAGAAGGGTGAACCCTCAGAAGCTCAGCAGCAGTAATCTTTCTTAGTCCAGTTGATGCAAGATTAGGATGACTTGTAGACCTGATCTCAAATTCTGGCTGCTTAGTTATTGTGTCACATCCATAATATAGTGACATAAAACCTGTATTTTCTTGACCTTGCAAGACCTTGGGTGATCTTACAGACTCCTCAAAGTCCATAAACCCACTGCCTTCTGCTGCCACCCCTTCCATCCAGAAGCCACAAAAGAAATAAAGAAGAGAGGACAATTAGGAGGCATTAAGTTCACTGAATTATGCTACTTTAGCTATCTCAGCATTAGGATTCATACCAGTGATGGGGTGACTAGGTGAGGCCGCCTGCAGACCTGTCCGCAGTTTCTTCAGCCTTCGGGAAGATTGAATGCTCAATGGAGGGAGGGAAGCAGAAGGATCAATCTCCCAAGGAGATACTCTATCTTCATGATTAGTCTCAATATCTTCATCCCATCTGACCTGTTGAGTATCACAGCATGCTTATATTAACCAAGCTGTCACCATTTGGTCATTGATGTATCAAATAAAGTGGCTTCACAAAATTTCAGTTTGTTTCTATTAAATGTACTCTAAATACAGGGACCAAACAACTAAGAATGTCGATACCAAGCTCTTTTTTTAAGTTCGGTTGGTAAAGTATATGCTTCACTGGCAAAGTTGGAAGAGAACAAAATCCAGGGCAAATGCTAAATGTATAATAGTATGTTCAAAACAATACTGCAGAGTGTATAAAGAAAAATAGAAAATGTACCATCAAGCACCTCCATTTAGATTTAGGCCATTTATAGGGATCCAAATCACTCATTCCAGTCACTATACCACCACTACACCTGCAAGACACGAAGATGATATCATATTCCTCACACGATATTTTTTGGTTCAAGGAAGACAATGGTTAAAGATTTATAACTGTGCTGTAGTTGACCTTCTTTCTGGAGATTCATCCATTTCAAATTTCATTTTGAATCTTGTCCCGATGGTCACTGGATTCTTGATGCTTTTGACATATTTTTGGTAGTGGACAACAAAATCTGCATGACTTGCTCTGTATTATACCAAATAAAAAACGTTACCAATTTATTGCGAGATTCATACGCCAATCATTAGTCCGCTGAAATCCTTATCAAGCAAGAAACAGAACTATTCATAAGAACATAAAACAATATAACAAAAAAAACATAAAAAGTTACAGGTCATATGGACAGATTCTGATCATCTGATGAAAGAAAATTGATAAAAGATGTATTTATTAAGATGAAAGAAAAGATTTCTTCATTAAGATCAAGGAAAATCTGTTTGTGTCAGATCCCACACATCATAAGGAGTTTCACTTCACTAGTCCATTCCTATCTTAGAAAGTATTTTGGGCAATACTCAGATGATTGATAGAGGGGAAGCTTGGAGCAGTGGTAATGCTCTTTTATGACTGAAAGGTCATGAGTTTGAATTCGAGAAACAACCTCTTTGCAAATATGCAAGAGTAAGGTCGTGTGTATAGATTGCCATCACCCCACCCTCGCAAGTTGGGGTTTAATGGGAAGGTGACTTTTTTTTTTTTACTGAGATGATTGATATGGATATATTGGCTGATAAAGCCTACTTGCCTATGAACATTAAATCCCTTGGCTGATATGGATGGAAAGCCCTAAACTGGATTTGTCTGTTATAGTCACAGCATCACATTGGAAAAATAGCAGACAACTAGGAGACATTTAATAAACATGGGGGCTAAAGGAACTACTTGTTATATCTAAGTCTCAAACAAATGTTGTTACTGGGTAAACATCCGCTTCAATAGCTATCCAAGATAGTCACTTTACTTTGTTCTCCCTAACTAACCATGTCAACTTCAATAATACTATCACTCTCAGTATGCAAGATCCAAGCTAATTTTTTTGACTAAGAGTTATTACAAACTGACAGATAAGCTATCGGGGATTTGTAAAAATAAAATGGGTTGGATTTTCGCTGATATTATACATCTATGCCACCTTGCTGTTATCATGGCATACATAAAATTGATAGAAATAACAGGAAACCAGTGTTTTATTTCATCTATAATAGCCACAACAAAATGAAAATCAAAGGCTAAATAGTTAGAGTGTGAATTTCATACATTTGGCTAAACAACAAACAAAAATAAAATCTGACCCATTAAACTAGTTAGTACCTTGGACTGTAGAAAACATGAAACATGCTTTTTGCGGATATAGCATTAGCCACAGAAGAAAGGAAATTGGGATAACAACTCTGGTTACCAACAATGGATTCAGGGAGACCGTTTCTCGGTCGAGCAGCTCTTCTGATTCCCAATCTCAATTCTCCATTTTCACCCCTACAATGAAATTAGTGACCAGTAAGGTACTAGATTGATAGACTCCTCTTCCTTAGAGACAGGTATAAAGAATCTCAAGTTGGTATCCGGATACTATTATCACTCATTTTTCATGCTTTCAACATAAATTCTACGTTCTCATGTACACAAGAAGTCAGGGGTTTAGACATTTGTTCTATGTGAAGATTTTTTTTCCAAGGATTCTTTTTGCTAGTTTGTTACTTTATTTGGCAGTTGATTATTACTTTCTGCTAAATATATAAACATGAAATTGATTGCAAGATCATTACATAAAAATCTGTCCTACACAGATTAATGCCAATTTAAAAAATTCACAGTTCATCATATATATATATATATATATATATATATATACATATTCACCTTAGAAAGAGCACTGCATCGCCAGATATAAGATTCTTTTGGCTAACAAAAATACTCCAGCCAGTAGTGAGCAGATGCCGCCTTGGCTGACCTGACAAAAATTACCACATGCACTTTCTGTATCATTTATAGTGAACATTTGAAGCCACTCAGACACAGTTTTTTTGTTTCAATTACCTCTGTAAATATGGCGAAATTTCCATTCCACACCATGCAGGTCTTTTGCAACAAGCTCTTGAGAGGGTCTTTGCTGCTTATAATCCTGTGGTAAAAATAAAAGGAATTCATCACCTTCAGGGAGACTATAAATTCAACATTTTGAATAGTCTTATGTTAGAAAATATCAGTGCAAACTAGAGCACGGTGTCACACCAAAGGAGGAAAACAGTCTTCAGCAGCTCTACGAGGCACAGAGAATCCCCCATGAGTGCTTGTATCAGAGGCAGTAAGCGTTTTGCAGAACATGTGAGGGGTTGATTTTGTTGGTGTTCTTCCATTTCCTTCTTCATCTGATCCCAATTCCTCAAGCTCTTTACCCTCCAAATACATCCCTGCAAACTGAAAGACAACCCAAGATTTAGAGTTACTTTATGGGATGGGGACAAAGGAGCAAATTGCAGCATCACATAACATTTCAAGCTAGTACCCTTCCTTCAATAAAGGAATAAAGTCTCACCATGAATGAAGCTCAAAGTAATAACAATCCAATTCTTCACTAGAACTTTTATACTTCCCAAGAAGAAATTCAAACCAAAGTTAACTATAGATGCACCAAAACAGAAATAACTTGACAAATGAAAACCAACCTCAGCCTGTGGAAGCAAAGTAACCTGTGTATAAACCTCATCATTCTCCTTATTGGCCTGTTGATAGAAAACAAATAAAGACAATTAAGCCAAACCAAATGAATAGAAACAATACAAGGGTGCAACTTTATATAAATTAAGCTAACACAAGTGAATCAAAGAGGAAAGAGTTCAGTGAATTTCAGTGCTCACAAGTAGTTGGACATTGACAACTCTGCAAAAGATCTGTGGCTGAAGATCATAGGTAGGCATCTCCATTGGCGAGAAGGGAGAGAAAGATGCAACTTGTTCTAAGTGACCTTGTGGAAAATAGACTACAACATTCCCTTTCTTTCGCAGGGAAGTGAGGGGTCCAGCACAAGCATGCCATAGCTCGAGATAAGAAGAAGACACACGAGCTGAAGAGGAACTAGAAGATGAACAAGTTGGAGATGACAAACAACAAACACAAACACAAACACCTTTCTCACAGTCCCCATTACAAGATGCATTCTTCTCAACCTCAGTCACTGCATCGTTCAGATCAATTTCCATGAACACCCCAAGTGTTGTTTGGTTCTCAATGGACTCAAATGGAAAAACCAAAACAGAATATTAAAAAAAATAAAAAAAGAAGATAAAGGAGGCTGAAGAGAGTTTAATCAAGTGGATTTAAAAAGGGAAACCCAGAAAGCGGAAACTGTAACAAAATGGAAAAATGAGGTCAAATCACGAAAAAGGAATCATATTTGGAGGGACACCACAAAGGTAAAAACTGGGTATGAGTGGAACCATATCAACAAAGACATGCTGGGAAGGACACACCAAAGAGGAAAAGAGAATAAGAAAAAAAAAAAGTATATTTAATCAAATCAAATAATAACAAGAAATTCAAAGTATGATTCCTCTCCCATTTGCAGGTACTGTGAAGAGGGAACAGAAGCAGCAGACAGAGACAATTGCATAGGAAGCACAGAAACAAAAGGCAAAAAAAGCCAATGTGGTAGTGGCTTTTGGACTTGGGATTGTTAGAGATAGAGAGAGAGAGTTTGTGTTTGTGTTTGTGTGTGTGTGTGTGTTGGGTGGGGGGGACAGGCCAAAGACAGTACAGAACCCACACTCCCCCACCCTCTTCTCATTTGCTTTGAGCTTAGCTTTATCCTTTCTTCTTTATTAATAATTTCCTTTCTTACTTGTGTGGGTGAGGAGGCCCTGGCCCCTCCACCAACACTCCCAAAAAGGTAAGGGAGAGTTTCAATTCAATTGATAAAACAAACTCTTAATCTTAACCACATTTTTTCCTTCCCTCATAATTTTAAAGAAAATACAATCAGATAACTTAAGGCAATGAATGACACAGTTTAACTTGATTGTTAACAAGTTAATTAGCCAACCATAAGTAAAAAAATAAAATAAAATAAATTAAATTTGTTTCACCCCCACTTGGTTTGATTTAGAGGTGTGGGATATCAGACAAATAGGTTCATTAAATGAAAGTAAAGAATAGTGTAGAGAGTGTGTAGTGTGGGTTTTGTTTGGCAGCAACTAAGGTGGGCGTGTTGTTAGTTGTTAGGAGTTAGGACTCTTCATCAGTTGCTCAGACTTCAGACTGAGGAGCCCTCTCTCTCTGCATCCTTTACATATCTCACGTCTCATCAACTCTTCTCTTTTTTACATATTTTATAGTTTTCATGTTTTCAACTGCATCTTACGCGCCTGCAACTTTCTTACCTACTTGTCCTCCTTTTATGTGTGTTTCTCTTTCGCAAAAATAGACCCTTCATCCTCATCACTTTTTTTTTTTTTTTTTTTTGTTAGTAATGTCATGGGTATTCCTTCAGCTGTAACTTAAGGCTAATTTCCATTGAGCATTGTTGTATCCTTTCATGCGGCTCTTTCAAATTTTTTTATTTTTTTTTTATTTCAAGGGTTCGAACTCAAGATTTTTGATTAAGGGAATGTGTGTTTAAAACCTTTGAATTCCATGTAATATATAATAGAGATTAGTTTTTGTTATGTTGTAAGATATAAAAATATCACTTACGTACATATAAAAATATGTGAGTCCGTTTACCAAAATAAAATAAAATATGTGAGTCCTATGTGGGATAATGTGAGGAGAAGAGAGAAAAAAAATAAAATATGATTCCCACTCACTTTTATATATGTAGCAAATAAAATTTATCTCATACAATATAGGAAGGAATAAGTTATATTTATAAATATTTTTTTAAAAAAATTATTTTATATACTACGGGTAGTACATGTTCAAATAATATGTACTATCCATAATACATAATATAGTTTGTAAAAGTATATACATTTTTTTTATAAATATAGTCATGCTCATATAAGAAACGTTATTCCGCTGTATAATATTTATGTACATATTACAATGTGCAAAACTTGCATAATGAAATAAGTTAAATACTACAAGATTCACATGAAGTACCTTTTTTTTATTTAACGAGAGATTAGTCTCCTCTTTTTTATAGTGGCGAAGTTTAATGCACTCTTTATTCCAACAAGTAGGTAACCTTTGAGACTGTACTCCAAGGTTATAAAAGGAAAAAATACGATCGGATCTTTAAATGCTATTTTCTGGTGTGCTGAAGTATGAAAAAAAAAGTACTGGACGTTGACTCTTTAGTAAGCAAATAAAGGGAAAACCGGTTGCTCAATAAGTGTAAAATAATAATGAAAGGTTTGAGTAATTTGCAGGTTTTGAATTTAAACCTCCTTGAGTTACTGAGATGGATTCAAGAGCCCTTCCCTCTGGTTGGTTAAACATTCAAATGGATGTAAAAATTAGTAGAAGTAATTATCAACGGTTCATGCATGAATGTTAAAGTTTTTTTTGGCCTCTGAAGAAGAGGTTGGCTAGTTTTTTGTTCTTCTTTTTCTACGTATACAGATTAGAATTATTTGGATTAAGATAAACTAAGAATTATAGGGGGTGTTTGGTTGGGGGAAAATATGGAGATAGATGGGTAACTGAGAAGTGGGAATATGGCAAAACCATGTTTGGTAGCAAATGTGAAATTTTTTTCCCACAATTATCATTTGCATAGGAATCCATTTTCAGTGTAAAATGAAAACAAAAATTCAACCCAAAAATACTACCTAGATATAAGTATTCTAACTTTGCTGAAAACTAACGTCGGAAACTTTGACAAAAATAACCCTCTTAAGTATGTCTTGGATCATTCAGTGGTGAAAAATGGATAGGTAGGAGACTGAAAAAAGCAAATAGTATCCTTTTTATTCAAATTAAAAAATAATCTGTACCAATATCCAAAAAAAAAATTATAAATATCTAAAAAAATATAATCTGTACCAAAAAAATTACGGATATTTTCGTAATTGTCACATATTTTTCCATCTATATTTTACCTCAAACCAAACATAGATTTTATAAATCTTACCTAATTTGCTCAGTAGATTTTTTTCCAACCAAACAACTTTTTTTTACATTTTCCTACCAAACTCACTTTCCAACCATTTCCCTATCAATTACATTTCCCTAAATATTCAAAAAAATTCTCCTCAACCAAACGCCCCCTAACATTTTTTCCCCTTTCAATTATATCAGTTGTCTGTATCTTTGCTAGCTCTTGAAATGCACGCCAAGCCTCCTCTTGGGGGAACAATGACCAAAATGCCATTATTCCCCATCTTATTTGTCTAAATGTCACGCTAATAGTGTTATTTCTCAATCTGTCACGTGGGCAAGTTCGCTGGGCACTGTAGCGAACTCGGTGTGCTGATGTGTCATGTTCCGGGTGGACACCAAGTTCGCTGGCAACAGTAGCAAACTTTGGAGCAATTAATGCTGACACGGTGGACAAGTCCGCTGCCACAGGCAGCGAACTAGGTGTGACACGTGTCTCACATGCACACAGTTTGATGAGGGGCATGACGAACTATGTGCCATGTGGCACCACCCCCAGAGTTCGCTGAGTTGACTAGCGAACTTGGTGACAAGTGGCAACATCTGACCAAGTTCGTTGTACCATGCAAAGAACTTGATGATACGTGGCGGGTCCCTGCTAGTTCGCTGCATAGGACAACGAACTACCTGCCGACAATTACAGTTCGCCAGCCTTTATAGTGAACTTTGTGCTATTTAACCCCCCTTTCCCACTTGCAATGTGTTCCTCTGGTGTGATTGTTTTTCAAAGAAACCAAATGTTTTCCCCTAGTTTTGTCTGATTTCATGACGAAATGAGTGAGAGTACAAATGATTTCATCGCCATTTCATATTACAATAGGAGGAGATATTTTGGATCGAATGGTAAAGTGTTTAAAGGAGATACGAAGATGTTCCGCATGAGTGCCATTTGCAAATATAATGACCTAAAGAAAATAATATACAAGAAGTTGAGATCACAACGTGGTCAGTCCCTCTCTCGACTGATTGCTAGATGTGCCTCCGGTAACCCGATGTAGTAGGTTGCTGTGGAAGTTGTGGAGGATGAAGATATCTCGTTTGTAGTTGACGCATTTTGATAGCATGGATAGTCCTCATACATCGAGTTGTATGCGGAACTAAACACTGGTGGAGAGGAAAGCACTCAAAACTCCGTCCCTAGAAATTACGACATAGACATTAACCGGGAGCCACTAGATAGTGCGGAAGATATGCATGTGTCACCACCCTCGCCACCATCACCCCCACTAACAATGCCTTCAGATGTGATTTCTACCCATGACATGTATGATCCCTCGTGGCGTACTGATAGCTCCGAGGAAGAGGTTGATGAAGGTCTTGTTCCTGATAATGACTCATCGGATACAGACGTTGATGGTGATTTCGAAAGGGAGCCGTCCAGTGCATTGTGTCAACTGATTCCATCATCGGGCATTGTTGGAACGCATGACCCACTACCAGTGGCAGGTCAGTGGTATTTACGGTGGTTTTTATTTTAATTAAAATGGTATTAGAAATGCCATGTGTTGGGATTATACAGGGGAGGATACTATACCATTTTAGTCACAAATAAGCCATTACACGAATATTAACTGGGCACACCCAGATCAGAAGTGTGACGAAATGCAAGGGGCATAAATACCAAACTGGCAGATGAGTTAAGAGCTCTATAAGGATCAGGTGTTTGAAAGCATTCAGGATGTATAGATGGAAATAAAACAATACTGTATGGCGAATCATCACACAGCCATCGTAGAAAAAAGTGATACGAAAAGGCTGATAATGGTTTGTCAAAATCACAATGACGGTTGTCCATGGAGGATGATGGCATATCTAAAAAAAGGCGGTATTGAATGGTTTATATGTATATGGAACAACACCCACACATGTGTTAGTCATTCACTTTCTCAAGATCACAAACAACTTGACTCAAATTTCATTTGTTCATTGATCATCGGTAAGTCAACTAGCTTTTGTGTTTATAAAAATAATACTGCTGCATTGCTAATGATTCTTCTTTGACAAAAAATGCAGAAATGATACGGGAAGAGCCAAGTGTTAAAATTGGTCTAATCCAGGAAAGGATTGCATCAAGTCTAGGATTTCATATCTCATACAGAAAGGCATGAAAAGAAAAGCAAAAGGCAATTGTTAGGGTTTTTGGGGATTGAGATAAGCCGTACGCATTTCTTCCGAGATGGTTAGATTATATGTTGTTGTTTTCTCCAGGGTGTGCTTATAAACTCGACGTGAATGATAATAGGATTGACGGTCGTCTCGATGGTTTGCACAAGGTGTTCAAAAGGGTATTTTGGACATTCAAGCAGTGTTGTGATGCTTTTAACTATTGCAAGCCTATGCTGCAGATTGATGGGACACATTTGTATGGGAAATATCGCGGAACGCTATTGATTGCTACAGCCGTTGATGGTAACAATTATGTTTTTCCTGTTGCATTCGCTGTTGTTTCTGGAGAAATTATTGATAAATGGTCTTGGTTTTTGGCTATGTTGCGAATCCATGTCACTCAGAAAGACGAAATATGTCTTGTTTCAGATCGGCATATTGGCATCTTGACTACTGTCAATAATGATGAGGTAGGGTGGCAACCACCAAAATCTTACCATGTGTTTTGTCTTCGACATCTTGCGAGTAAT